ACAATAAGAAATACAAATATCTAAGTGTATTTAACGGACCCTTGTGTCCTGTTTTCCCATTCAGCAGAATATAAGCCAGCAGTAGAGACAATCACTCTAATCCCATTTTTATATTGCAGAATCATGATGTTCGTGTGATGACTTGAGAACTCGTGCCCGTCTACCTTTATTATAGTAATGTTTTCACTTAATTTCTCATGAATACGTGTTTTACGTTTGCACAGAATTGTCATGTCGGTACATTGGCCAGCCAACAAATACTGTAAATACAACCATGTGACATCTACCCTAAAAGTTAAATGAAGACTGTTAACAATTTCTCCAAGACTACGGTCGAGAATCTCAGAGAAAATTATGGAGAACTGTTGATTATAAGTCTCTTTGGAATTTTCAATTCTCGTGAAAAATAAATGGTAAGGCGCTGAAGAAGCATATTTCTTCGCAAACTTTCCTGGTGTCACAACCATTACTGTGTAGCCAATTTGTTCCATCATCTGAATAGCCATTCTTCTAGCTTTCTTCCTTAATTTTTTGGAATCAAAAACTTGACACGTATGTATGAGATGTTCCATTCCAGATGTTATTGAATTTGAATCCTCTTGACTGTTTTTGAAACTGTTTTGAGAATCATCGATATTTTGCTGATTATTGTTTGTGAAATCATTGTTTTCTATGCTCATCTGTCTCGTTTTTTCTGTATCGGAAGTGCTATCTTCTGGTGCCTCCCGACTTTCCTTTTTTTTCTAATAAAAAAATTTATACTTATTGCATTTATTTTTCACAATTTAAAGTTCGTAAACCCATTCTTTATTACACTAACCTTGTCATGTTCCAAACTTTCATGTTCTTTGCTGATCAAAACTGTAGAAATTGCCTGAGCTCCTTCGTCCATTTGCTTAAATTTATCTTGTTTTTCCTGTGCTACTGATTTTTATGTCTTTTTATTTTTCATTCAAATCTTCTTTAGTACTTTATGTAACAATTGAGAAAAATTGTGTTTTAGTAAATTAACTACCAATTATCATGACTACCACACAGTACAATTTATCCTAAAAGAATCCTATTAAGTTGTTCCAGATTTCCAAATGCAATCCGAAAGACGACTGAGTAAATAATATCTAGGATATTCCAATAAAATATCGTGAAATATCTGTGTATAGATAGGATCGGTATGATATCGCTTGTTATATAGTAGTAACAACAACAAAGAAAAGATATTAGAATCGATAAGATTTACACACAAAGCGTTATCATTTTCTATCATAATATGTCGTTTTACTTTTGATCTTTAAATAAAAATTTTATCGTTTTCTATCATTTTTTTATTTATTTTTTTAGTAAAAATGAATTCACAATCATTGATATATGTGTATGATAAAAAATATTCTTGTTGTAATTTATTCTCTATCTTCTTGTTGATATTTTTGCAGAATTAATAATTTGTATATAATTACGAAAGAAATCCAAATAGGAATTTGCTGATTCTTATTTAATATTGTTTTGTCAATAATATTATCATTGTGTAATATATATATATATGTACAAATTGTTCATTTTTTTATAATATTAAATTATAACATTGAAAAATTATGTAATTGCTAGTTAAATCCTAAAATTCTGGAGTGTTATCGAATTAAATATCAAATAATAATTAACGTTCATAATGGCTACCTTTGATTTTAAATCACTTTGGGAGTGCATCAATATTTATTGTTTTATTGATAAATTCTACTTTGAATCAACGAGACGCGGTAAAAAATTTGTTATACATTAATATGTATAAATATATATAAATATACACAAATGTTTATAAACATATATAATCATATATGAAATATGTCCATACATATTTATATATCCTCTTTCTTTTGTAAAATTACTTTTTATTCATTATGAATATTATATGTTTATACATATTTATTCATATTCATGTATGAAATTTTGTTTACCGGGACATCTAATAGAGCGATTTTCAATTCATCAATAGATAGAAATCTTTTAGTGCAGAATATTTGATATTTAATGAGATGTAATTAACACTCCAAGTTTGCTCTTTTAAGTACATTACTACCCAGGTAACAAACTGATATTATTTATTAGCTTATTATCTGGGTAATGATTTAATAAACACACAAAACTTTATGAATATTATTATCATCTTGTATCTCACAATCAGTATGAAAATGATATAGATCATATAATGCACGAATCTCACGATTCTAGGATTCATAAGTTTCAGAATGGGATTTCCTTAAATTTCTTTATATCCTAGTGGGGCGGGGGGGGGGGGGGGGGGGGGGGGGGGTGTTTTTTTTTTTAAGATATCCGTAAGATATCGTACACATTAAATACATTAAATTATTTGTATGTGCGTTTGCTAAATGTTTACCGAATATGAGGCTATCTTAAAATATATACTTTATGGTGATTGCGATGTTCCAAATTATCTATACTACATCTACTAAATAAATTAAGTGTACTATGGTTATCCCTGTTTTATCCTTCCTCAATCTATCACCGTTTCCAGTTGTTGGATTGGCTGTGAACAATCATTTTACATAAAATAAACCATCTCTGATATTTTAATCATATCATTCAGCTGCTATCTATCAGTTATTTCTCTACTAAAATTAAAGTAACAGTTATTAACCAAATGATATAGTTACATGTAATGACATAATCAATAATGATGTAATTATTAATTACGTATAATAGAGGAATACAAACAGTTCTGATATTTCATCCAAATAAATTGGTTTTATAACTTCGGTTTTATTGAAATAAATAGGTTTTGCAAATAAATTTTTCTGGTAAGATTTTTCCATAAAAAGACAATATTCTCTTTTCTGCAATGTCAAATAAATATGTTTATTGTTCTAAAATCCAGAATCTTTCTCTCTTGAGAAAATATACCTAGAATATAATTAATAAAAAATAAAAACCTTTTAACATCTGTAATCATCATAGAATTTATCGTCGAAATCATCAAATAAATTGAATATTATGAGTGAAATAACTTACAAGTCTGATTTTGATAGTATAAATGTTTAATTATGGATTTCTTTGTTTCTTTTAAATAAGAAAGAAACAATAAATGTGTATGATTCTGCAAAATATTATTCACTTTAAGATTCCACTAATAAACGCGTATATTACATTTTTACATACCGAAGTGATAAACGATATGCGATATCTACAATTTCTTTGAAGTTGAACTTTGTAATCATGATTCAGTACTTTAGATAAAGTCGCTATATTACTTATAATTTGTGTATCAGATATATAATTACTTATAAATAAAATGTAATAATTAATTCCTATCATATCTTCCATTAGATGCCATTGCAATTATAACAACGAAAATTTCTCGAGGATATAAAATTGTAGAAACGTTTCATGCTTTAGAGTTTTGCGGTATCTCGAACCGCACAATTCACTTGATTTAATGAACCTTCTCGACTATAAAAAGGTGAAAAATGTAAAAATCAATATCTTCCACATGAATTATCATAATTCGCAAGCATTGTAACGATCGAAAATAATGATTCACAACGCGATATGTAAATAATGCCCGACAAAAGATTTATTATTCCGTCAAGGCATAAGATTCGGGCAATCTATTGAATCTATTGAAAGTTACAAAAAATAAGTGAATAAAAAATATGTATTTGACGGAAATTCTTTGTAATTTGAGCGATATCCAGAAATATTTGTCAAGAAATAAACTAACACTCGATTCTTTAAAGAAATGAGTTTCTTCTCTGACAAAAATAAAAATTGAAGATACTCTATGCGAAAATAAGTAATAATCAAAGAAAATCATTCGCATCACGATAGTCATTCTGGAGATATGGTAATATCTCGAAGACAAGCACAGCTAATAACAAGACAGACGCAAGACACTGTCATGCTCCTTCAAGCCTCATCTACAATAGTCGCAGGTAGTCAATGTCGTAGAGATACTGTTTCTAATTATATGATTGTCGACGACTAGAAACAGTATTCCTGCGACATTAGCTGCGTTCAGCGGATTCAACAATTGTAAGTACGCGTGCCCTGTTATTGATGGGTGCCTTCTAACAGGAAACACATATGACACGGTACATCATTATATCCTGTTTAAGGAATGGAAGTATTTAACTCGTTTACTTGTAACGAAGTTACAATTACAAGTTACTTTTTTGCTAACTTTACTGATAACTGCGTTACTTTTTTCTTTGATAACTGTAACGGTAACAAAGTTACATCTTTTTGATAATAGTAACGAATTTTACAGTTTTTTTTATTGTTACTTTGCACACTATTAAACATGATACGACACAAGCTACTCACACTATAAAAAAATTTTATAAATTTATACATATAATAGATATAAAAATTATATGATTAGTTCTATAAATAATATAAAAAATGGAAAGATCCCGTTTATCTATTATCCCGATTGCACACCACACATATCAGCTGGTGCTTAGTAATTTTTCACTTTCTCACTGCTTTACCAATGATAATATTTTCTTTTTAAATTGGTCAACTAGCAATGCATGTGTGCAATATGCGATGTGTGCAATCGGAGCCTTCCCTAAAAAATCATGCAATTTTAAAGGAATTATATAATTCTACAAAAATTATATAAATTTACTTTTATTGTGTAAATATATTTTATTTTATGAAAAATTACGTAAATAGCAGGATATTTTGAATATTTTCTGTAATTATCCAAATTTTAGTAATATTACGTAATATAACAGTAATTCTTTGCCTATTGCTATTAAATATATAATAATACATAGTGCAAAATGTATTGTCATATTATCATTCCTATAACTACATATACAGCTAACTAAGCAGATTGTGGAAATACAATTAAATATGTACAGGGTTGGCCATATTCGATGGAAAGATGTTTTTTTTTTCAATCATGGGAAACGTCGTTACTCGATCTAACATCTCTGTCAAAAGTTACAGTGTTGCCCAGATCTTTCCGTCGAATATGGCCAACCCTGTACATATTTAATTGTATTTCCACAATCTGCTTAGTTACAAACCAAGAAATTATTTTTATTTACATATAAGCTATAGTAAGCTTACATACAAAAACATTTTATATCATCATTATCTTTAATTAAGAATATTCTTAATAGTGAATAGTGCAAATTGCATTAATACTTTCATTTTTATTATATAAATCTAATGCTTTCATGTAAACAATGTGGGACATTTTTATCTTGCACTAGAACATTTTTCATTTCCTGCCTGCACGCCTAAATCTTAGAAAGTTAACAAATTCGTCGACGAAAGGACTATCGTCAAATTCATATTGGCTTAATGGAAGATCATATGGGATCGGAAACATTGGAACGCCTGTATCTTCTTCTCCTCCAATAGGAAATGTTGTTGTCCCAGTCTAAATACAAACGAGTTTGAAGTGTAGTAATTAATATTAACCGACTAAAATACATGTCTTAAATATATCTCTATAATATACTCTTTAATATATTCTTTAATATATTCTTTAATATATTCTCTACTCTATAATATATTCTTTAATAACGTTGATATGTCAGAAATTAATTTACTAAATAATAATATAATGCCTACGATAAATTTTGGTATGAATAGGACGCCGGCCTCGTAGTTCCCTATACTATAATCGTATTGTTTGTTTGATCCCCATGCGGCTTTACTCAGATTTGCGCTGGTAAGCAAAAACCAGGGAATTTTTTTCAAATCAGGAGAAATCCTTGTGTAGGATTTAATATTAGGCATCGCACGATCTCGTCCTGTTCGCTTAGCTTTCCATTGACTACAAAAATTAAGAAATAAATGTAAAATTCTAGCTATAAAATAAACGGATTACTTCTAAGATGTAAAAACATAAGCGTAAATATTTAAATAAAATAAAAATAAACGATTGTAAATATTCAAATAAAGTAAAGATAAATAATTTTATTTAATATTTGAAATTAGAATAGTGCCTTTTTTTTAATTACTTATTGAGGTAGAAATCCTGAGCGTTTAAGTGCAGGTTATTATATAATAATATATATGTTATTAATTTTTCATTTCCTTTGTTGGTATATATTTTTAATATATATATGTATGGGATAAACAATTGTAACTTACTATAAATATGATTCTAGCCACTGTTGTTTAAAATGATTTTCTGTATTGTACGACAAGGGGGTACTTAAAACTCGAAAATCAAAGCTCTGCTTATAATTCGCTATTGATGGATAAATAAACTGAAAATGTGGATAATTATTTGAATCTTTAGAAGTTTCCTTCGACATACACCAAATTATGTCTTCCAACCAATTTTCGAACAAACCAAAGCAGCCTACACCAGAACTTTGTGCGACTATAGGCCACTGTTCATTTCGCGGCAGCGTGACATAACACGATAGAACATGTGCCAATTTCCTGTATCCCCAAAAGTCGTCTTCGTAACCTTTGTGAATTCCAGGAACAGAAGCGACGAGAAACACATTTACGTCAGAAAAATCCGCCATCTGCACTGCACGTATCCACTGCGTTAAAGCCGGTTGCTCATATTTACTCAGATATCGCTCGAGATCCTTTTTAAAACCCGTTGGAGATTCCCCATCACTAGGCTTTGCGGATTCTGGCAGATAAGGCAGATGAGGCGAAATCCACAATCTAATCAACACATAATAAAAAGATGTTTATAGACAAAGATATATTTCAATAAGAAATATCTATAAGCGTATTTAACGGACCCTTGTGTCCTGTTTTTCCAATCGTCAGAATATAAGGCAGCAGTAGAAACAACTACTCTAATCCCATTACTATATTGCAGGATCATGATGTTCGCATGATGACTCGAGAACTCGTGTTGCCCATCTACATGTATTATAGTAATGTTTTTACTTAATTCTTCATGACACGGACATACTCTATATTTGTACAGAATTGTCATGTCGGTACGTTGACCAGCCAACAGATACTGCAAATATAACCACCCGACATCTACGGTAAAAGTTAAATGAAGACTGTTAACAATTTCTCCAAGACTACGGTCGAGAATCTCAGAGAAAGTTATGGAGAATTGTTGATTATAAGTCTCTTCGGAATTTTCGACTCTAGTGAAAAATAAATGATAAGGTGCTGAAGAAGCATATTTCGTCGCAAACCTTTCTGGTTCCACAACCATTACTGCATACCCAATTTGTCTCATTATCCGAATAGCCATTTTTCTAGCTTCTTTCCTTAACTTTTTGGAATCAAAAACTTGATACTTATGCATGAAATATTCCATTCTAGATGTTATTGAATTTGAATCTTTTTCACTGTTTTTTAAACTGCTTTGAGAATCGCCGATATTTTGTTGACCATTGTTTGTGAAATCATTGCTTTCTGTGCTCATCTGTCTCGTTTTTTCTATATCGAAAGTGCTATCTTCTGATTCCTCCCGACTTTTCTTTCTTGTCTAATAAAAAAGTGTATACTTATTACGTATTTTTCATAATTTAAACTTCATAAAGTGATTCTTCATTACATTAACCTTGTCACTTTTCGAACTCTTATGTTCTTTTTCATTTAAAATTATAGAAAATACCTGAGCTCCTTTGTCCATTTGCTTAAATTTGTCTTGCTTCTCCTGTACTATCGATTTTTATGTTTTTTTTATTTTTTTCTTCAAATCTCCTTTAGTACTTGATGTAGCAGTTGAACAAAAATTGTGTTACAATGTGTGTGAATTAACTACCAATTATCATAACCACAGCACAATTTATCTCGAAAGAATTGTTCCACATTTCTAAATGCAGTCTGAAAGACGACTGAGTAAATAATATCTAGGATATTCCAATAAATACTAACGATAACAAAGGAAAGATATAAGAATCGATGAGGTTTGCACAAATCGTTATCATTTTCTATCACAGTCTTCTTACTTTTTATATTTAAATAAAAATATTATTGTTTTCTATCGTTATTTACTTATTTTTTGTGAAAGTGAATTCACAATCGTTGATATATGTATAAGATAAAATGTCTTTGTAGTAATTTATTATTCTCTATCTTCTTATTGGAATTTCTCGAGAATAAATAATTGAAAATTGTAATCAACAGTCATTATTCACAATAAACTTTCGGTGCTATATGGGTAACAACGGAAAGTTTTCATGTTGTCTTTCTGGCAGTAGGAAAAGATATCTTTTAATCAAACTAATCACTTTTTGCTTTGTGAAAATGATAACCATGGAAAGATGTCTTTTTTAAATTATTTTTTTCAACAAAACTAAAAGATGTCTTATAGACATCTTATCGTCTAGCTGAAAAGACAATCTAAAACTGATATTTTTTCGTCATCTTTTAGATATCTTTTTTTTTGTTGGAAAGACAACTTAAAAAAAATCTCTTTCCATTATTTTTTAGTATTTTGTGCTGTATGGGAATATACCCGATAAAACGTTAAAAAAAACGAATATTAAAATTGAGGAAAGATTGTACAAAAATTGTGTAATAAAACAATTCAGTTTTATAGGTTAGATTAATTATAATAATGTGATTTATTACACCAAAAATGTTTATTTACAATTTCAATCATTTTCAAATGTTGCGACGTGCTACGAAATAATAGAGAAATTCGAAAAATTAACATTTTACAGTGTACAACAGTTTTAAATATGCACCAGTGTTTCCAATCGAAATCGCTATTAAAATTATAAATTTTAATATTAATTGTTATAATTAATATTGATTATTAAATAATGTAATTATTAATCTAATATCTAATATCTAATATTATATCTAATATCTTACTTTAACGTTACAAACAAGTAAATCGTTACCCTCTAAATAATGATAACGGCAATGTATTACTTTTTAAAACTCTTGAGTAGTCATTACAGTCATATTAAATGTGACGACAGAAGCGAGAAATGACACGTTAATTTTTATTACGTGCCATTTATAAATAAAAACAATTTGAATAAAACAAAATGATGAAATTACTTTAAAATATTTGTAAAAATGGGCAAAAACTATGCTTATCCCTCCTGACAATCAATAAATAATCGTAAAAAGTGATGAAAGATACATGAAGTGTTTTTATTCAATGCGCATACATAGCTTATTTTCCTTTTACATGCCTTTACCACTATTTACGATTATTTACTGACTATCAGAGGGGATAAACACAGTTTTCGTCCATTTCATTTTTATAAATGTTTTAAAACAATTTCATCATTTTGTTTTATTCAAATTGTCTTTATTTATAAATGGCATGTAATAAAAATTAACGTGTCATTTCTCGCTTCCGACGTTATAATTCAATATGGCTGTGACTACTCAGGAATTTTAAAATTAGTAACAATTAGTAACGATTAATAACGTTATTTTTTACAAAAAGTAACGATTACAGTAACGCTACTTTTTATAAAGTAACGTTCCCAATCCTTATTACAATATGAAATATAAGAATAAATTGATTTATCGGCGCCCCATTCCTTCAGCTAATAATGTACAATACAAACATGGATGTAAAAATATTTCACCCTCATTTAAAACGGATAAAGAACACTAGCATCATGATTTGAAATATTACATTCAGTCTAGACAAATTCGTCGACGAAAGGACTATCATCCGATTCATATTGCGTTAATGGAAGATCGTATGGAATCGGAAATACTGGAACGCCTGTATTTTTTTCTTCCCCAACAGGAAATGTTGTTGTCCCAGTCTAAATACAAACAAGTTTGAGATGTAATAATTAATATTAATCTACTAAAACATATGCCTTAAACATATTTCCATAATGTGTCCATTAATAGCATTAATATGATGAAAATTAATAAAATAATAAAATGGTGCCTACGATAAATTTTGGTATGAATAGGACGCCGGCCTCGTAGTTTCCTATACTATAACCTTTGTATTGTTTGGTTGATCCCCATGCGGCTTTACTCAGATTTGCGCTGGTAAGCAAAAACCAGGGAATTTTTTTCAAATCAGGAGAAATCCTTGTGTAGGATTTAATATTAGGCATCGCACGATCTCGTCCTGTTCGCGTAGCTTTCCATTGACTACAAAAATTAAGAAATAAATGTAAAAATCTAGCTGTAGAAGAAACAGATTAAGACGTAAAAACATAAGCGTAAATATTCAAATAAAGTAAAAATAAACAATTGTAAATATTCAAATGAAGTAAAAATAAACAATTGTAACTTACTATAAATATGATTCTAGCCACTGTTGTTTAGAATGATTTTCTGCACTGTACGTCAAAGGAGTAATTAAACATTGATAATCAAAGCTTTGCTTATAATTCTCTATTGACGGATAAATAAACTGAAATTGTGGATGATTCTTTGAAGCTTTAGAAGTCATCTCCGACATACTCCAAATTATGTCTTTCAACAACCAATTTTTGAACAAACCAAAGCAGCCTACACCAGAACTTTGTGCGACTATAGGCCACTGTTCATTTCGCGGCAGCGTGGCATAACGCGATAGAACGTGTGCCAATTTCCTGTATCCCCAAAAGTCGGCTTCGTCAGCTTTATAAATTCCGGGAACAGAAGCGACGAGAAATACATTTACATCAGAAAAATCCGCCATCTGCACTGCACGTATCCACTGCGTTAAAGCCGGTTGCTTATATTTACTCAGATAACGCTCGAGATCCTTTTTAAAACCCGTTGGAGATTCCCCATCACTTGGCTTTGCGGATTCTGGCAGGTAAGGCAGATGAGGCGAGATCCACAATCTAATCAGGACATAATAAAAAGATGTTTATAGACAAAGACATATTTCAATAAGAAATATCTATAAGTGTATTTAACGGACCCTTGTGTCCTGTTTTCCCAATCGATAGAATACAAGCCAGCAGTAGAGACAATCACCCTAATCCCATTTTTATATTGCAAGATCATGATGTTCGCATGATGACTAGAATATTGATCGAGCTGGCCGACTATCTCTATTATAACGTTTTCATGACATATATTTAATTCTTCATGACATATTCTATGTTTGCACAGAATTGTCATGTCGGTACGTTGGCCAGCCAACAAATACTGCAAATACAACCATGTGACATCTACCATAAAAGTTAAATGAAGACTGTTAACAATTTCTCCAAGACTACGGTCGAGAATCTCAGAAAAAGTTATGGAGAACCGTTGATTATGAGTCTCGTTGGAATTTTTGACTCTCGTGAAAAATAAATGGTAAGGTGCTGAAGCAGCATATTTCTTCGCAAACTTTCTTGCTTTCGCAATCATTACTGCGTAGCCAATTTGTTTCATCTTCTGAATAGCCATTTCTCTAACTTCCTTCCTTGACTTTGCGGAATCAAACATTTGATCTGCATGCATGAGATTTTCCATTGTAGAAGTTATTGAACTTGAATCTTCTTCACTGTTTTTTAAACTGCGAGAATCGTCGATATTTTGTTGACTATTGTTTGTGAAATCATTGCTTTCTGTGCTCATCTGTCTCATTTTTTCCGTATCGGAAGTGCCAGCTGATGCCTCCTGATTTTTTTTTCTTGTCTAATAAAAAAAATTTATATTTATTGCATTTATTTTTTACAATTTAATAAACTCATTCTTCATTACACTAACCTTGTCAGAATGCGAACTCTCATGTTCTTTGTCGGTCAAAATTGTAGAAAGTGCCTGAGATCTGCTATCCATTTGCTTGAATTTATCTCGCCTCTCCTATTGATTTTTGTCCTTTTATTTTTCCTTCAAATCTTTTTAGTACTTGAATAGCAATAACACAAAAATTTTATTTTAGTGAATTAACTACCAACTATTGTAACTACCACAGCACACTTTATTTTGAAAAAATCCTAAGTTGTTCCAGATTTCTAAATGCAGTCCGAAAGACGACTAAGTAAGTAATATCTAAGGTATTCCAATATAATGTCGTGAGATATCTGTGTATATATAGGATCGGTATGATATCGCTTGCTATATAATAACAAAGTAATAACAAAGGAATAATAAAGGAAAGATATAAATATCGATAAGGTTTGCACAAAGTATTTTCTATCACAATATATCTTTAAACAAGCAAACTTGAGTCACCGATAAAATTAATTATTAATTAATTTATGAAAGTGTATAGACTCACGGTACAAGTTTCGACTTACAAGTAGAGGCTATGCTCTGCTCTTCACTGATTTTGATCAAAATTGTAGCTCTTCTTTAATGAATAAATTGTAAATTATAAGCGCATTATGTTAAAACACAATGACTATAAATTACTATAAATTACTATAAATTATGTTTTTTCCCCATAACTGTTATTGTTAAGATCATGCGCTTGTAATTTGCAATTCGTTCACGGTTGAAAAAACTAAGTTAAGTCGAAACGCCCACTGTCTATACACTTTTATAAATTAATATATAATTAATTTTATTAGTCATCAAGGTTTGCTGGTTTTTAATATTTGACCTCCGTTATTGTTTTTGTTTTTGCTTTACACACATACGAGCAGTAACGAAATGTATCCTTTATACTAATAATATTAATTTTTACGTTTGTATTTTACGTTAGAAGATAATTTTGTCGTAATATCATGTATTTTATATTGTTAAGCGTGTAGCAGCACTAACATAAGTTTTTTTACTGTAAAATTTTTTTATTTGAAATAAATTTTTTAAGTTTATATTTTTATCCTTTTAATTCTTTGTAATTAAATTTTACTGAGTTGAAATAGAAAAATATATGATGGGAAGTCATTTGAGTGGGAACAGAAAAAGAAATTCTTTAAATGAGAATAAAAATATATGTACTATTTTAAATTTTATTTTTAAGAAAGTTTATAATAAATTTGAAATATAGTTTTTTCGATTTTATTTTTTAAAAAAAGTAGTATGACAATGTTTGAATAAAATATATATTATGTTTGTAATTGACACAATTTAGAGATTTCATATATTTTTTGGAAAAATTATATATTTGAATTGAAAATACAATTTTTTAGTATCATGATTTTTTGTATCACCATAGTATCACCATTATTTTTTAAATGAAAATAATGAAACATAAACTTGTATGAACCTTTTAATAAATTTTTATTTGTATGTGTAATAATTCTTTAATAATAAATAATCTAAACATTGCGTTTTTAGTTTGCAAACTCAATATTCTCGGTTTTGATTGGTGGCCGCTATCAGCCAATCAGTAAGCGAAACCCGTTTGCGCTTCTCTGATAATAAAACTTTAAGCTATACTAGTATGTATGTACAGTCAATCAATTCAGCTAAATTCAGCTAAAAAAAACAAATCTCTTCAAATGCCATCTGATGGCAAAAATATAAAAAAGAAATGAAATTCTGGGACGATGATCTGAATCTTATTAAAATTTATACATTTTGGATTTTGCGTCGAGATTATAGGGCATGTAAAAAAAAAAAAAAAAAAAAAAACCCGTTCAAAACACGTTCAGCCTTTATTGAAATCTGATTAATTCGCAACTCGCTGATTCGCGTAAAGCCGGTTCTACATTAGTTGCAAGTCGATCGCAAGTTTGTTACGACAGCTAATATGAAGATAATTTCAAAATGCAAGATTCAGATTCACTTCAGCAACTAATGGAACAGTAATATTCCACAAACATTGCAAAACTATAATTCTTTAATTGTTACAATAATAATAATATAAAAATATAAGTTTTTACAATACTTATGTAGTATAGTCTTTTAATTTAATAGCCGTTTTTATGATATAATAATTAATATAATTCATTTTATATTTAAATAAAAAATTTATTGATCTATTATTTGACGACTATTTCATTAACTAAGTTTTATATTTATTTTAAATATGAAATCAAAAGATTGTATAATGTCGAGTTTGGATACAATGCATCTTTATGAATATTTTTATTACCTTATATTTCAGTTAGGAGTCTAAGTCATATAACGCAGGAAACTCATAATTTATAAGTCCCGGAATAATATCTCTTTAAATTTCTTTACATTCTACTAAGAGGGGGAGGTAAACATGTTTTTTAATCTTCTAGACATTATCCAATTGTAAGATATCCATAAGACATCCATAGATACATTAGACACTTGTGTGACTGCTAGATATTTTTCTGAATATATGAGATCATCTTAAAATATTGTATGATTATTGCGATGTTCCAAAATATATCTGTACTACATCTATTGAATAAATTAAGTGTACTTTTGTGGATAATTGTCTCTGTTTTGTCTTTCCCCAATCTATCACAATTTTCAAGTTGTTGGATTGGCCATTGTGTGTGTGTGTGTGTGTGTGTGTGTGTGTGTGTGTGCGCGTATGTGTGTGAATCATTACTCGTAAAATAAAGCATTTCTGATATATTATTTATATTATTCAGTTGCCTATCAGTTATTTCTCCACTGAAATTAAAATAACAGTTATTAACTAAATGATATAATTACATGACATAATCAATAATGATATAATTATTAATTACATACAATTGAGGAATACAAATAATTACAATGGGAATATTTTAACATTTCATCCAAATAAATCGGATTTTTTCAGTAACATTTCTCCATAAAAGGACAATATTTCTTATCTACCAAACAAATATATTGTCAAACAAATATGTCAAACAAATATATTGTTATTATATTCTAAAATTCAGAATCCTCCCTCTCTCTCTCCCTCCCTCTCCCTTCCTCCCTCCTCCTTCCCTTTTCCCTCTCTCCTTCCCTCCTTCCTTCCCTCCCTCCCTCCCCCTCCCCCCT